CTGGCCGGTTTTTATTAAAGATAGAAGCTACATTGCTTACTCCAACTATAATAATAATAGCAAGTCAAATGACATAAACAAAGTAGATAATTATATAGACGAGAATGTGTATAAGAATATAAACGAATTACGAAATGAAGCTTTGAAAACATTAAAAAATTATTTGCCTTATTTGTGTAAAATATTAGTGGACAACACAGTGTATACTAAGTGGGATTATTTAACCATGGATGAATCGCACTTCCAAAATGATAATGCGAATGTACCTGACTTGATCCAGGATATATGCCCAGAAATGTATAACAATAGTAATAAAAATAACGACATGAATGCACAGCAGGTGCAGGATGAAATGAAAATAAACAAAATGAATAGCAACAGTGATAGTCATACACACATGGGGAGTAACGCCCGAAATGGAAGTATGAATAGTAACAATGTAAATAGCTTTGGAAGGAGCAACGCAGCAGGAGGTGGAATGATGCAAACAGGGGATCAAGCAAATAATGATAATGGTATGCATGACTATACTGATGATGAGGATGAAAAGAATGACGACATGACGGCCAGGACATGGGGTAATGATTGGACTGTGAGGAAAGGAGCTGCTTTATGTCTCGACTACTTATCCAATGTGTATAATGACGAAATATTGGAGTTCATCTTACCACACATAGAAGAGAAACTAATGAGTGATAAATGGAACATAAGGGAAAGTGCAGTACTAACCCTAGGTGCCATAGCGAAAGGTTGCATGTATAGCCTTTCTCCATTTATCCCCAAAGTGTTAGAATATTTGATAAAATTGTTAAACGATGAAAAACCTTTAGCGAGGAGTATCTCCTGTTGGTGCGTAACAAGATTTTCATCATGGATATGTCACCCAGACAATTGCGATAAATGGTTTGAACCAGTTTTGTTAAATCTGTTAAAAAGGATTTTGGATACAAACAAAAGGGTACAAGAAGCAGCTTGCTCCTCCTTTGCCAATTTAGAAGAAGACGCGTTAGATTTACTTAACAACTATCTGCACGAAATTGTCCACACCATTCAGCAGGCATTTCAAATATATCAAGCTAAGAATTATTTCATCCTCTTTGATGTCGTAGGCACATTGATTGACAGTGTGAATATAGTCAAAGAGAATAACGAATTGGCCCACGAAATTGTGAATTCGATATTATCCAAGTGGAACAGCATACGCATAAGTAGCCCATACATCATAGCCCTAATGGAATGCATGTCCTGCATTACTAGTGCCTATGGCAAAGATTTTTTAAAATATGCAAAAAATGTCATAAGGACATGTATTAAATTTTTGGTTCTACTATACATAGATTTAGAGGAAGAGATAAAATATTACTACAGTAAAAAGGCAGGCAATACAAATTCATTTATCGTTAATCGGAATAATATATCCTTGACGGCAAGTGAATTGCTAGCTTATTACAAAATTAATAATGATGATTACTTTACTGCGCTGAAAGATATCGATTCCATTTCTCCCTCCAAGAAAAAAGACCTTATTGAATGCAGCTTTGATTTATTGTCCAGAATTTTAAGTGTTATTAATTCGAACATTATGAACATTATAAGCGAAAATGAGTATAATTTTATCCCGCTTGTACATAAATATTGCCTAAAGTTTGAGAATATCAAATTTGATGGGGTACTAAATAACAAGCTAATAATGAACCAGGGGTTCAACAAGATGGTCTTCTCCCCGGATGGAAACCCCACTTCATCATCGGCCGTTAAAAATGGAAGAATAGGAATTGGCAAGGAGGAAGAAAATGATGAACGCACCGAATTGGCGAAACATTTTTTAAATTTTGGCATACTACAATCAAATTTTGCCCTCATAGGAGACATTTCCCGATTTTGTGCCCAATATTTAATACCCTACTTGAATGACATTATCCCCTTTCTCATTGCACACATTGCGCACCCTTCCACCCCGGTGTCGAATAATGCCAGCTGGGCCATTGGAGAAATTAGCATACACATCAACCCACAGTACATGGAGGTGTACGTGGATGAAATAATTAAACAGCTTATTTACATTTGCCAAAATTCAAAGTATCACGGTTGCTTACTACAAAATATATGCATCACTTTAGGCAGGCTGTCCTCTACCTATCCCAAGAAAATTATTTTTTATTTCCCCCAGTTTTTAAAAACCTGGTTAAAAATTATGTCACATGGCACACAGGAAAATGAAAAAATTAATTCACTCAAAGCTATTTTGGAAACGCTCTACCTAAATCTAGATATAGCTGCAGAAAACTTACAGGAAATTGCTTATATCATACTTAAGTACAAGTACGTATCTCAGGATGTGAACAATTTTTTTCACCAATTTTTAGCTACCATGAAGCAGAAGTACCCCACCCAATGGAAGGGAATTTACAGCTCCACGAGCGACTCCCTTTCCTCCCCCATCCCCAACGACATGTTGAGCGATTTGAGCACGCGGTTTAATTTATAACCTCCCGCATGCACACGTGCAGATATGTATAGATGGTTGCCCCCTCACCCATCTGTGCATACATATATGCCCACGCAAAACTCCATACACACGTACACGCGCTACTATTTTTAACTCGTTTGAAAAACCGATCTATCTCACCAGAAAGGCCTAAGAATGTATACCTACTAGTACATACCATTTTCAGGTGTGCATCTAAATTTCCTTGGTATATAGAAGTGGTGTTATATATGCTACACTGGGAGCAGAGACAATGTGAACCTCCTGCTTGTGGCAAGTGTGCACGTAAATATATATATACATATATATTATTATATACGCATATGCAACCTTGCATGTGTGTAAATGCCCGTGCCTACCAATACACACCCAGCGGTAGCACACGCAGCATCTGTGTGCTTTCCCCATCCTCGCCAGTGTTATGCATATGCTCGCACACCCTTGGCCTTCCGGCGCATTATCATGTGTAGGTCCATATGTGGACTCATGACTTTCTGGCTGGGCGTACCTGCATACCCCAAAAAAACACACACGCGCTCGCGCACGTTTCACTTCTGAACCAATTTTGTAAGAATTGCATTTCCCCATTTTTATGACTACTCGTTGGTGTATGCATGTTTCTGTGCACATTTATTTTTACTTATTTGTGCTTCAACATTTATGCTCATACATTCATTTATATACATCCGTGCATGTACACAGTTGTTTTTTTTTTTTTTTTTTTTTTTTTTATCTTTTCATGTACTGACACATTTTTACGTGTAAAAAGAAAAGCGTTTAAACGTTAACAGGATATACCTCTGTCAAATAGCCATAATATAATGGCGAAAATTTAAAAAAAAAGGGGAAAATATAATATATATGTTTTATGTGAAAATTTGGAAGTTATTTCCAAAGGTATATACATACATGTTTGTATATGCGTGCTTATGTTTGTGTATATAATATGTGATTTTTAAATAAATAATATTTTAATTAAACCTTTTTTCTCTCTCTCTCTTTTTCTTTTTTTAATGTCTTATTATTTATTTTAAACATATAATAATAAAATGGTTAATATTAGATGCTTTTTTTAAATTAGGAAAAAAAATTAGTTCGGAAACAGTGAACAGGAGGGAAATGACCCGTTCTTGTGCAGTTTGGTACCCAAGAGAATTTGCTCAGGAAAATGGTCCTACCCTCTCCCTAATAAGAAAAGCGCTTTGTTACAAAGGTCGACACGAATAAGGTTTAAAATAAAGAAATAACGAAATGGTGTATACACGGTGAAAGCGTGACGCATTGTAATCCCTAAGACCATTGACCCATTTAAAAATGGCACAATTGTGCGAATAATTGTAGAAAAGGCGTTATTCTAATTTGGCCTGTCTCAATATATCATTTTCGTTGGGATTATAATTGGAGCATTGCTTAAAGGTGTAATGTGGTTCAACGTTTGATAGGGTAAATTTTGTTACTCCATAGAGGGTTTTGCACTGTGTGCTGCTTTTAGGCGCACTCATGGCAACCGCGTTGGCAATTCATATGATAGGCTTCTGACTGTGTGTGCTCCCGTATGGCGAGCAATTTCCACCCCCTTAATCGGTTTAAAGCATTTTAATTGCACTTCTCACCCATTTGGTGCATCCGTCCAATTCATGCGTTAAATGTGAAGAAGGTGTGGGGATGGTTTTATACTAACATGTTAGTGGTAACCTCACTTTGTGGGAAATGACACATTGACCTTGCATGTAGGTACCGTAGAAAAGTCCGTTAGCTTTTATAACTCCACATGGCACATACACATATATGGCCATGCCTCCTCCATTTTTTTTGAAAGGCCGCTTAACTGGGACAAAGCATTTAACACAACATGGTATAATTTTAATATAAATAAAACCCCGCAAGGGAAAATAAAAAAGACGTAGAATCAATCTACGCACACTTTAGTCTTCATAAAATCGACAAATATAATATTTGTTAAAAAAAAAAAAAAAAAAAAGGATAATCAGATCATGCATGTAGCACATAAAAAGGAGAGGGTAAAATGGTTGTGCACAAGTAACAATATGATTATAACATCCATCTGTTTTGCTGCCTCCTTGGCGCTGTTACAACATCTCTCATCCTAGCGACAAATTGGTAAGGCCCCACACGGGAACACTGCTCGCGGAGGATGTGCACATGGTTTGACGTCCACAAATCCATACATGCATAAGAAGGCACCGCTCATCAAGCGACAGCAAACAAATTAAGCAATGGTACACTTTACTACTACCTATAATCGGTAGAAGCATCCATCCGGGTTTTTACTCAATCTTGTAAATACTCCCTTGAATAGGTGGCACAGCATCCCTACTATACGTGCGGGTTAAAAACTTTTTGAGCTGATCCGAATGTTCCGCGTATATATGTACACGCAAAAGACAACATGACCAGAGCTTTTTCTCGAGAGGAGAAATAAAAAAAAAATATATAAAAAAAATAAAATAAAATTATATAGGCAATACTCCAGGTGATATGAACTGTAATGTTACATCCCTGACTGGAATTTCAACTTGGAATCCCTAAACTTGTTAACAATAATGTCGATAACTTCATAATTGGCAACGGAGGTAATATCCCCAAAATCGTTTACCCCATTTGCTATGCATCTTAATATTCTTCTAATGATTTTTCCACTTCTGGTTTTAGGCAAATCAGGCACTATGCAAATGAGATCTGGGGTGGCGATAGGCCCTATGGCTCGTCTAACGTAAAATTTTAATTCTTCTATAATTTTGTCATCCGTGTAACTAACCTTCATGGTGTCCATTTCCGCCAAATTGGAAGTGGATGTTGAATGGGGATTCACATTTTTTGTGTTACCCTTGCGGTCAACGCATTGGTCAAGTGTTCCCTTGGCTTCAACCCCCTCCAACTGTCCCAATTTTTTAGAGGCACATATCTTTCTAACGACGAAGCAAAGAATACCTTCCCCCTTGACCACATGACGGAACGAAACAACGGCTGCCTCCGCGATGCAGGAGTGTTGCACCAAGGCATGCTCAATTTCTGCTGCTCCTAATCGATGACCAGACACATTTAAAGTATCATCAATGCGGCCAGAAATCCAGTAATACCCATCTTCATCTCTATATGCACCATCACCAGTAAAATAATAATTTGGACAGGAAGAAAAATAAGTTTTTACTAACCTGTTATGATTCCCATACACAGTTCTGAGCATGCCTGGCCATGGACTCTTGATACATAACAAGCCACAAACATTAGGACCATTCAAAGGTTCTAACGTTTTAGAATCTAAAATTTCTAATTGGACACCGAAAAATGGAAGAGTGGCACATCCAGGTTTCATTTTAAATAAATTGGGTATCGGTGCAATGACAATTCCTCCCGTTTCTGTTTGCCAATAGGTGTCCACAATTACACATTTTTTTTTCCCAACAATATTGTAATACCATCTCCATGTCTCTGGATTTATGGGTTCACCTACACTCCCTAAAATTCGACATGACGACAGGTCATATTTTTCAATATATGAATCCCCATGTTTCATTAAGGCTCTAAGTGCTGTAGGTGCTGTGTAAAATTGCGTAACTTTATGCGTTTCTATTAAACTCCAATATCTACCACAATCTGGGTAAGTCGGAATGGAAGAAAATAATATCGTGGTTATTCCGTTCAGTAGGGGACCATATAAAACATACGTATGCCCAGTTACCCACCCAATGTCTGCAACGCACCCAAAAATATCATCCGGAGTTACATCAAATATATACTTACATGTCGTGTAAGCATATAATAAATACCCTGCCATGGTATGCGCTACACCTTTGGGTTTTCCAGTCGAACCAGATGTGTACAATAAACATAGGAAGTCTTCACTGTCTACATATTCTATTGGACAATACGCTCTCATGTTTTTCATTAACGCGGAACCATCCACATCTCGACCTTCTTTTAACGTGCATATGCTCGCGTCAAAATTGCTCTTGTTGGAATCATTCCTACAGTAACCTTTCCCTTCAAATGATATTCTCTCCTTTGAAGTGCCCACGCAAGATTTACTCGTCAATGAATTGATATAATGACATGACCCTGCCCCCAAGGAGTGGCTGCTCTTGTCTCCAATGTTGTTAGTGCCCTCTCCTCCATGACTGCATTTGTGGTGTCCATTGCTAATTTCTTTACTATAGTCTGTTTTATCTGAATTGGGATTGTTCTTCCCTAGGTTGTTATTTTTGCATATTTTTTTATGCAGGGTGTGTATCGCTTTACATTTTGTGCCATCGCTGTTGGTACTGTCCTCGGTGAGGGCGTTGCAGTGGTTGCTGGTCTCCATCCAGTTACATTGCGGGTGGTCACAATGGCCGCGATTATCCTGATTATTATAATTATCATAATTACCGTTATTGGCGCAATCGCCTTCCCCTAGCAGCGATGCACACGCGGAGGCACTACCCCCCTGTAGAATAGGCTTACAGTTGAAGTAGCTCTTCGTACTATCACATTTGTTCAGTTCTTCGTACTCATTTTGGTTCATGCCATTTTGCTTGCTATTTATCTCTCGCGTTTTACCCTGTGCCAAAAAATTATCAGCACCTTTCAAGTCGACGCTGGTTGAATGGTATAACTTACTTTTCGATGTGCTTTCCAGGTATGCCCTATTGGCATCACTTATCTTTGTTTTGTTTTTAAAAACGATGCAGACTTTTATGGCATCGCCACACATGTCCATAGCTGCATCCGCGATTTGCTTGAGCTTGGTTAATTTACCTCCTCTCATGCCAAAATCGCTTGTAATTAATACCCTGGACTTGGAGTCCAATATGCGATCACACAAACTGCCTGCAGAATACCCAGCAAAGACGACATTGTGAATTGCACCTATTCTAGCACATGCTAGCATAGTATACACAATTTCTGGGATCATGGGTAAATATATGGTGACCACATCTTGCTTCTTTACTCCATACATTTTTAATAGGTTGGCAATTTTGCAGGTCTTTTCCAACAATTTTTGATAACTTATTTTTTTATAATCATTTGGTGTATCTTTTTCCCATATTATTGCAGTTTTATTTGGATGTTTTTCAACCCATCTATCTACACAATTATCACATGCATTAATTTTGCCATTAACAAACCAGCTAACGTTGCCCTTTTTAAAATTTCCCATGTATACTTTGGTGAACATTTTAAACCACCTTAAACTATTTTTTGCTATGTTTCCCCAAAATAATTCTGGGTTCTTAATACTTTCTTCGTACATCTCTTTATATATGCTTACATCTTTTATGTTTCTGTTTATGCCCGTCTTATTATCATGTTGACTGTATGATTCGTGTACTGGGAAAGAATTCTTGTTAAGGAAAATATTTTGATCTATGTCGATTACGTTCAATTGTCCTGAATCCATCTTGGTGATGTTTCCATTGCTTTGTAGGGTATTCATTATGTTTGACGGGAGTTGCTTTCTCTTTTTTTTTTTTTTTTTTTTTTTTTTTTTTCTTAACCCGTTAAAGGTTCGCAACACGCAGGGTGTGGGGCTATTTTGTATTTAAATGCACATGTTCTTATGTTGCATACGTGCCCACTTAGGTACTTTTGCGTGTGACTGCTATGATTAGGTTCTACACGCATAACACCTATACATGTGCAGGGGTATATTGTCATACGTCGGTTTATAAGGGCTACAATACGCTTACCTAAGCAAGCAAGCATATTATGTAGTTGATATCCCCCCTCTCAACATCCCTTTGTTTTTTTTTTTTTTTCCCCCTTTAAACTGCATGAAGGATAAAAATTTAAAAGAAAAAAAATTACAAAATGGTGAATTGTACAAACAATTAAATTTAAAATATGAGATGGGCAAATTTGAAAATATTTTAAATCCATACGTTGAGGGATTTATGTACATATCCAATATAGCGCATGTATTAAGCTTTATATGCTTTATTATTGACCTCCGCACGGAGCCCCCATGCCCGTACCTTCAAGTACAACGTATATAAATAATGTACATACCCCCCATTTGCCCATGAGCTAAAAAACACGATGCCGCCGGGCGGGTTAAGCATAAATTGCCCGAGGGGCATATTTTTTTCATCATAAAAAAAAACCAAAAAGTGCTTTGCAGCAAAAGGGGGCACAGGAGGGAATTGGAACAAGTATAAAAATCAAATAAATTTTGCTGCTTTAGAAAGCGCCATATATATAATTCATAAAACATATATTTGCCACTCTTACTTGAGCCACATATCACCCCGCGTAAGGGTAAATTTAAGCTTGGCACCAATAAAAGCGACTTAAAGGTATGAATGCTCATATGTTATACAAAATACCCTTCACCACATGTACACGTAACAATGGACCTATTTTTTTGATCACCTCCCAGTTAAGAAATTACATTTAATGGATATTTCTTTTGGCCCTATCCTAATGGGAAACAAAGCCTGCCCAATGCCTGCGCATGTTACAGCAGAAACATCGAAGGGGATGGCATAAACGACAATTGGATTATCATTGTTACACTTAATGGACACATTCCAAATAGTCCCTTCTCCGCATCGCAATTTTTTTTTTTTTTTGTTACCGTCCGTTGTTTTTAATTTTTCCACTTGTGTTTATTTTGCTGCTTAACGGTTCGCAATTTTTCACAATTTTAATTTTTGTTCTGTATTCCCTTTGGCATACAACTCAGGCATGTAAACATTTTTTTTTTTTTTCTGCGCTCTTTTAGAATAATAAAAACAAAAAAAAAGTAAACGCGTACATTTTAAAATGCGAAAGGAACACACAGGGGAAATACATTACTCACTGTGCGTATCGGTGTAGGCCCATACGTAACACCCATATGTGACACGTAACTGTTTGTTGACCATCCTAGTGACTCCCACGCATGTGGTGTTATAAACCATACATTTGTGTTGCTGGCATGATAATAAAAAGAATGGGTCACTGTAGCTTCTTGTAAATAGGGCACATACCAATGCGCTCATCTTACCCCCCTGTTGAAGTACCATCAACGGTATGTACAATGTTGGGACGAAAGTCCTTTCCCTGACTGAACCATGAAATGTGCGAACGAATGTAACCCTGTTTTTCGCATCCGTGTAAGGGTAATACCGTATGACGCCTGTGATGTACCTGTGTAGGAACTCCCCAAAATGAGTAACTAAGTTTTATATCGCATATAAACTTTATGCCCTTCCCCCATAATTATTATCTTGTGTGTGGCCATGTGTGTATATGCATGAGCACATGCATTTACATCTACGCTGGTTTATATGACCACTACAGACGTTTGCGTGCCTCCGAAAAAGCTGTGTGTGTGTAAACTGCCCTCACTCGCTGAGTAGTTGCACGTAAGACACCAGCTACAGCGTTAAACTAGTACCTTCTCCTTTTACTCACCGTTTTTCACGCATCATCTGCATTTTTAATAACAACTGCTTCGAGCTTATGTTAAGCGCTCCACTTGGTGATTACTCATTTTGTTGAATCGAATTTAAGGGTTTTCACATACACCTTTACATTACAAATCGGACAGATGAAAAAAAAAAAATAGATTAGTGTAATTCCCATTTTTACAACCTTCCATTTTTTAACGCCTCATGTGTTGGTGACTTCCCTTTGCGATCTTAGCAAAAAAAAGAAAAAAAAGAAAAAAAAAAAAAAAAAAAGACTTGAAAAGGACGACCAAAAAAAAAAAAAAGAAGTACAAACGTGTTTGTCACAATTCCACACAGGTTATCTACCCAAGTATTGGAACACAACATAGGGAGAAAAAATATGAGAACTGATTTTCCCCCCTACATTGAAACATTTCGTGTAAAGGGGGAAGTAAATCCAGTACGTATGCTTGACTGGTTAACGCTTCTAACTCCCATTAAAAAAAGAATACTAGCTAGCTGAATAAACTATGGAAGAAGATACATCAGGAGGAACTTCCAAAAGAAGGAAGCCGAATGGCAATAATAATACCAATTATTCATTGTTTCACAAAAACGTAAGTCGTTTAAGTGGAAATGACGCAAATAATAGCCATCCCAAGCAGTTAACTCAGAAAAATGAGAAGACAAATAAAAATATGCCGTCCGCATCGATTCGTAATAATGCTCAGAACGTGCCCCCTTTGAATACAAATTCAAATGCAAAACAAGATGTTTCGTATCCCAATATCAAGCGCAATGTTAGCAACACCCACATGAGTAACAGCAAAAGAATGTGCACCAATAATCGATCAGAAGATCAAGGTCATCCCTTTTTGAACAGGCTTCCGGAAAGATCGTTGTGCGTGGACTATAGCGAAACGGAGAGGGTAAAAGATGATGGACGCGGCGGAAGGCATGTATGTGTGCCCGTTTGTTAATGTACCCAATACTCCCTCCTTGTTTACACCATTTTGGTGTCAGCGACCACTCAGCATAATTTCATCACACATTCCCTCCTTCCCCCACACCCCCTTCAGAGGAACTCTGCAAATGCACCGAGCAAAATATTCATTAAGGACAGCTTAAAAAATACATATGCAGACAATACAAGAGCTAGCAAAAACTCGAAACAGAAGCAACATAAAGTGGGCCTTTCATCGAATGAGTATACAACCTATAAAGTTACAACGGAGAATAGAACGACATATGATCATGCAAGGAAGCTAAATGACATGTGGAATATTTACGTGGATGAATTACTCGATTTGACAAAAACAGAAGAACTGCCCCAAGACACAATTAATGACATGGAATTGAACGGAGCGGAAATTGAAATCCACAAATCCCGTTGTGCATCATATATTGGAATCAAAGGGATAATCATCCTGGAAACGCAAAATGTAATGATACGAAATGAGCTTAACAGTAATGTTAAGGAAAAGAAAGAGGGGGAGATTTATTACCCCTCCATGGCTTTTTCTTATAATTCTTTACTTACATTGTTTCCCTCAGTGGCTATGCTTCCGCATCCACGAGCAAAGTTAGACAAAGGGGTCACCACCCTTCCCTCCTGCATATTATGTAACTTTATGCAGACCACACACACATGCGCTTTTAACCCCTCAGGCATTCAAAATAGTAACCCCCAAGAACAAGGTCTTAATACTACTAAAAAACAAAACCGTATTTATCCTTACCATAAAAGATAAGCAGTATTACCTGCATGGCGTCCAGCTGCTCCGCGACCCCGGCTTAAAATCATCCAAAAAGTACAAAGTGCTCCAAAACAGGACCATTTAAAAACGGACCATTGCACTCCGTATGTCGAGCATTCACATGTGTACAATTTTCATTTTTTCCCTTTTTTAACTGTAATTTTTATGTGTAATATTTTTTGCATTAAAATTGTGTACACCGCTTAGTGCGCAACACAAATTCGTATGTCATTTTACCGTTGTTTAGTGATACGGAGTGGATTTTGTTTCCTACCCGTCCCCGTCTCCCCCTCTAATTTGTTATGTGCTTTTATTCAGCACTGTTTCATTTTTATGTTATCTTTTGCGCCTATGTGAATAGTTGCACATCAAATCCACACGTTTATCTTTTACCACAAGATTGTGGGGCGTTAGGAAACGGTGCGCACTTGCATGTACACTGCTATGTAATATATGTTAATATATTCTCCTTCCTGCCCCCAGTAAAAAAGGGAATAGATGCAGACGCAATGGTTAGTTTGTTCTCGCCATAAGCTACATCTCCCATTTGTTCTTCTCATTTTTACTAATTTGCCTTCGTGTGCGTTACATTACTTTTGGAAACAATTCCAAAAGGGGTTAAATGATGCACGATACTTTGCCAATCTTTTTGTTTAATTAACTAACATAATTCACCGTATTATTTTAACAAATTTTTTAAGTTTTCACTTTTTTTTTCTTTTTTTTTTTTTTATGCTGGACGGAAATGAGACTACAAAAATGTTTCAGTTTCCTAAGCAACATTGTTTGACGAATGTTAAAGCGGCATGTCGATTAAAGAGAACTTTTCCAAATAAGTCAACATCGTATATTTTTTTTTTTTTATGTATTAATATAAAATGAGTTGTTGCTAAGGGAATAATAATTGCTGTAACGATGAATTATTTAATCCACCGCAAGGAATGAATCAACGTCGTTTCTACATTGTTCCCTTGTTGGCCGCAGGAATGAGGCACATGTCGTGCTTCTCATTTCCCATACAAAATATACGTGCATACAAATCAGTGCGCTTCTTGTCCTTGGTCGTTTATCTACATCGAGTCCAGTATCACCTTGCACGTAGTTAACCAATTTATACCCTCAGTCAAAGGAAATCACGCTTGCCAACCACACCTGCTAATCATGCTTGCTGACCAGCAACGATTCTCCCTCCGCACAAAGTAAACCGCAAAAAAACACATGGACAAGTGAAGTATAGCATCATCATGAACCCCGATCCAGCTAAGCCCAGTGACCAGGTAGCAGAACTGCTAGTGGAGTCTCCTTTGTTTTCGTTCCACTGCGCACACTTTATTGCGTTTAAAGGATTTAGGGAAACTTTGCATGGACATAATTATAATGTGTCCTTAAAAGTAAGGGGGAATATACAGGAGGATGGATATGTAATCGACTTCTCCATTTTAAAAGAAAAAGTAAGAACAGTTTGCAAACAGCTGGATCATCATTTCATTTTGCCAATGCATAGTGATGTTCTAAACATCCAAGAGGTCAAGGACAATTTCAAAATTACATGTGAAGATAACTCCGAATATTCTTTCCCCAAACGGGACTGTGTGCAAATTCCTATCAAGCATTCCTCCACAGAAGAAATAGGGCTTTATATTTTAAACAAAATAATAGAGGAAATAGGATTGCCCATTTTAAAGGCACGCAGTGTTAATTACATGGAGGTAACTGTGAGTGAATCCCCAACGCAAAAGGCAACGGTTCACAGGAACATCTGATGGGAGGCAGTGGCAAGGTGTACTGCAAGGACAAATCCAGTGTGTATATAAAGGTGGTACAGCATATGTGAATTTTTATTTTTATTATTTTTTTTTTTTTCCCCAGAAATGGAAAATTTTTAATGTGTATATATCTGTACCTATGTGTTGTATGTGACGTATGTGATGTATGTTTGGCACAATTTTGGCCAAGTCATGTCGTGCATTATATAAGCGTCCCGCAGACCCCCTCACCACTGGGCGTCACATCCATTTTGGTAAAATTCCTTAAGTGCACTTATGCACAAATGTAAATGACGGTCTACAAACTTGCGTATTTGCGTTCACATATAAACACACATGGGTGTTCTTTTCCGCAGTTGCGCATTTCAGTCTCTTCGTGGGCGAGCTCGCCCGGTACGAACAAATATAAAGTAGTATTAAATAGGCAAACAAAATCGAAAATCATAAGACAAACTCGAAATTAATACAACTAAACCAGGGTCGAATAATTGGTAACAAAAAGGGGTGAAACAAATGAGGTGCACGGGGAATCCGCTTATCAAAGAGGGGACGGACGTCTTCCCCCGTGCAGGTGGGACAAACATAGAAAGCACGAATGCGGCAATGCAATGCGCATGCAGGGTGCATTCATATGCTTCTCCTATTTGCACTTTTTATCAACTCGAATAGGCGAGTTGTGCGTGGTACAATCATCCGTACAAACACATCATCGCGCATCAGCGCATTACCCTCATCACACCACTACCCATCCGCTTGGTACCCGCGCGTCACTCCCCGTACATGAGCTGCATCTGGTCGTGCACCACGTAGGCGTCCAAGTCAATGGCTGTGCAGTTTTTAATCGCGTATAGGAGCCTCTCCTTGAGAATTTCCAAGCTGGAGTACTGAGGCAACAACAAGCGGAATCCACACGTAACGGCCGTGGGTAATCTTTGGTCAGTTTGGCTGATACTGAGGTTAGGGTTGTCAACATCTATGATCATATACCAATCATTCTTTGTCGTGGGAAGCCTTGATCGGCCTGAAACAAATCGGAGGAATGATTGTAACTGCTCATTCGTGAATTCTTCCAGTACTGCAAACAGTTTGTCCTTTATTTTCAAATCATTGGACCAAGTATGTGCTTTTAAGACATCAAGGTTTATTTCTCTTTCACCACAAACCATATGCTCCACATGTGTAAACTCGTATAACAACCTCAGTCGACCCAAAGGAATCACGGAGCTGAATCCTTTAAGTAAATATCTCAACCCTCTGGATGATTCATTCATTTTGCATCTAGTCATTAATCGGATAAACAATTCCAAGTTATCAAAATTGATCGGTATGTTGGCTCCATTTCTTATCAACTCAATAGAATTTCCTCCGGAGTCTTCCGTTATGAAAGTGATATCTCCTAGGGATTGTTTTAATTCCATGTTCCATCCACTGGACCTTTCGCAGTTTACCATTTTCAACGTTTTGAGCATTTCCACAGCGACAAAATCGTAATCGCACAAGTCTTGCAATTCTAGTGGAGCTCCACATATCTTCTTCCAAATTATTGGATTGAAACATATGTTTAAAGCTGACGCTATGCATATGCACATCCCCATAATTCGACCTAGGGATTCATACATGGCTAATTCCATTGCTCTTGTAGTTTTCTCATCATACTCCATGTTCATATGACTTTTCTTTAAATCATTAAATTTTTTGTTTTTTTTGCTATTTTTTTTGAAACTATCAGCGTGAACATTTTTCTGGTCCATGTCGTTACATACGATTTTTTCGTCCGTTTCGTTTTTTTTCTTATTTAATATTTTGCTTAAGAAATCATGTCTCGTTTTGAGTGATATGTTGTTCACAATTTCAAGCACGTCGCTGTCGTAGCCACAACTTTCGTATGAGCCACTGCGGTCGAATTTGTTATCCTCATGGAAATCCATCTTATTTTCTTGCTCTATTTTTTCGAATGTAACAGATTTTTTGCTACCAAAGAGGTACATTTTGTTAGTGTTCTTCAAGCCCCCATTAGCTACCTTGTCTTCCCCATGTACAGGAAGCATATCTCCAGGGAGTTCCTCACCCGCGTTGTTGTCTTTTCCCTCTTGACTGCCACTTCTACTGCTGCTAGCATTTTCTGCCTCCCTTCCTGCAGACTCCATACAATCGTAATTGTCAACATGGCTATTCTCCTTTTCATTTCCTTCCTTGTGTGGTGAAGCGCCCTTTCCCATTGTCCCACTTGTATTTACATTACCACTTCGGGTACTCTTATTCTTATTCCTGTGATTGCTTCCATTTTTATGCGTCAATTTTTCTGCAGCCTCTTTGTTACCTCCCGAGGAGTCCTCATCATGCACGCCCTGATCTTCCCCATTTTGTCCTTCCTCCTCATCCAAAGAGTCATTTCCTTCCTTGGCTTTATAATAACCCCCCTGGTACATACTATTCTGCGACTTTTGTAATTTCTTCTTAATATTTCGTATCGAATTGTATATGTGGAGTATCTGCCATCTGAAGCTTTCCAAATTATCAATGATGTCTATTTCGCCAACATAATCAGATTCTTTAACATTGTACGAATTAATTTTAGGGTTAATGATAACGGTATCTTGGCGTCCTCCCATAGCTTGGGTGTAATTAGGGCATGGAATGCACAGAGGAAACATGGGTAAACTTTTATCAGGGGAATCGGACAATTTGCCCATAACTTCTCTCGAAATGGAAGACAAAAATTCATGAAAAGGGCCTCCAAAATCGGTTGCTCCTTCTCCTACAAATACCACCATGAAAGGTCTATCCCTTGGCTTTCCTCTCAGTTTATGTGTGTCTATGTTTAGCAAGGAGTATGTGCTTTGGTACCACATCGTGTGAGCAATATTTTTTGCTGTTGCAGCCATTCCTCTGTCTATTCTGAGGGTTAAATTAGATTTCTCCGAGTTGGACGAGGTAATATTTTTCAAACACTCCTTCCACAATTTTAAGGAAGTATCATGTTTAAGCAACTTCTTAACAAACAGGTAGGAAGACAGTTGCACGGGCAGGTCCGAAGAGCCCATCGCTAAAACCATTTTACTGGAAGTGTACCCATTTTTACAGTGTCTTATGCAGTCTACCAATGAGTCCTCCTGAGTTTCCTTGTCGCTCTCCCCACAAGCAGAGAAATTTCCATTTGGGTTACCCGTATGCACATTTTCCGAATTGGATCTAATAAACTCATTCTCCATGCTAATATGTCTGCACTCGCCTTTTCTGTGCGGTAAGCCATTTTTGTACATTAATCCTCCTTCCTCTATGATGGAATTATTTCTCTCCGTGGCATAGCTGTTATGATCGTTTTTCTCGGGCTCGGCATTGGCCAAATTGTTCCATTTGTCTTTTCCATCTTGTTCCACTTTTGGCGCTGTATTAGCAATGCCCTGTTTGGAGTCACCCTGGTCGTTCTGTCCGGAGGGATTTTCATAAACGTCCTTTCTCCTACGCGAACTCGCACACGGGTTGCCACTTATTACACTATCACTTCCGACACGATCAATCGCCTCAGAGGCATTCCTGCCCCCACTGCTGTCCGTGTCAATTCTCACATGGGACATTAAGCAACCGCTTCCCCTGTGCGTACTTCCATTTTTGACCATCATGGTGCTCCACGGTAGAAACTTATCCCCGTCCGCGAAGAAACATAGAGGACATTCCAACGTTCGCAATCCATGCTCCTCTAGATGAATAACTGGTTTGTTAAATAATACAGCCGTAATAGGAAGGCAATTCTCAAAGTATGTATTAAACTTATTTAACAAAGTGATACGGTCCTGAATAATTTTCAAGAACAGGTGCTTATTCTTTTCGTACACGTTGCTTTTGTAATAATCTACAGTCATAACCATTTTATTTTTTGCTATATATCTTAGACATTCATCAGAAAGCACAAAATATTTTTTAAAGTTTGGAGGAAACATTCCATATATTTTGTAATTACTTTGGTATACAATTCTCATGGTGAAATTATGAACCTTTTTTATTTCCTCAATGAAGTCATCCAAGGACATGTTTATTCTTTTCCACAATTGAGAATTTTTACTTGGGAGCTTTTTTTTTATTTTTTCCATATCAAATGCGTGGTATACAAATAAACTTATTTTTTCTGAAGAGTCCATGTAACTACTTATCAAGTCGTATATATGTAGGACATAGGTGTCAAGTGTGTGTGGCCAAATTTTGTTGCATTTTTCTCTTATGATATCATTGTCGCATGGCTTGGAAATAAATTGCAACTCACACATCAGGTCATATGCATCATCCACATTGTCCTTTTCATCATTATATCCATCAGGGAGGAAACTTCCATGCAAATAATGCTTCTTATAATAATGATCAGACGCAGTGGGAGGGCTGTTCCAGTTATGTTTCCTCGAAACGCTATTCAGCATAGAACGTTTTCTATTCTTATCATATTTGTTGTTTATTTTGTTAAAGTGATTATTTTCATCAATATAATTTTTTCCCATGTCATTTTTGTTGTTACTAAACTGGCAGTGGATGGAATTTTCTGGGTCCTCCTCGGTGATGAAATCATTCGTATTGTTCCCATTCTTATGACCGTACATATTGAAAGCTTCATATGGAAGATGCTGCTTCAAAGCATTTCCATTATTACTATCCTCTTCGCAATTGCCCTGTAACATGAAGAGGGCATTTCTGAGTTGCTTCCCACACAGGAAATGGCTTTTCTTCCTATTACACGTTGCATTATTGTTACTTACGTGATGATTATTATCTCCGTCTATGTCTAATTTGATAGAACTCATTGAGCTTTGTTTTGTCAAGCTATGATGCGCGCTCATGTCTTCTCCGCTGTGCATGAATTCATTTTTGTTGTTACTGCCACTGTGGAAATAGTTGGACGCGCTGCTACACGGCGGATCCTCTGGGGTTATTTGTTCCCTCCCGGCGCTCTCATTGTGTTGGGCTCTACCGGTGGTGTTGACAGCGATAGCGTTAGTAGTTGTGCTTGCCGCAGCGTTCGCAGCCCCACTCGGAGTGAACTCCGAAGGATTACCCGCCTTGCAGGAATCATTCACGCTGTTATAAATGTCGTTAGAAATTTTGAACAGCGGGATGTACTGCTTGGAGCTGACCCTGTAGGAGGATCTATCATAAGTGTGGTACTTTCTGGACTTCCTTTCCTTCGACACATTGGGTTCCTCCACAGTATCGTACGCCGAGTAGTGATCCTCGTACCCTTTCATGTTACCTCCATTGACAAAACACTCGTTTATATAATTCTTATACTTTTCTGCCACATCGCTAGAGTCATTGTTGCACATTAGCCTCCTGTTATTCTCATGGAACAGGTACTCCTTCAGCATATTTTTGTTCGTACAAAAGTCATACAGTAAAGCATCTCTGTTTAAATTTTCCAAATCAATATTTTTAAAAATGTCACTAAACAAATGCGCATCATACATTCCATTTCTTAAGAAAGACTTTTTCTCATCGATGATATTCATGAGGCTACTATAGAACAGCAAGTTGTTTCCATTCTGTAGCACCTTATCTACGAGGGAAGCTGATTCTATCATGTCTTCTTCGTACCTATAAATTGTATACGAATCTGTCACCCATTTTATATCATAAAATTCGTTAAAAATGCCAAGTCCCTTTAGTAGCTTCTTCTTCCATTCATCATGCGTACTCATGTTCCACTTCAACTTGAAGCTGTTAAAAATGCTAGCGAAGCTGTCTACTTTGAGAAGAATATATCCTAAGTCCAGGAGAGTGTGGCAGCTTTTTAAATTTTTCTTCAAGTCGATATTCATAAAACACTTTAATCTGTCGTCCATGTAGAAATAGTCAAATAATTCCAGAAAATTGTGAAACCCTCTAAATATATCCTCCTCACTCTTAATTTGCATTAGTGTATTTTTGAGTTCATCAAATTTAGGGATACTCGTAGCATCCAAGTATCCATTATTTTTAAATATATCCGAGAAAACACCTGACTTGTTAATAAATTCGATTAGACTTCCTTGCAGATCTTGATAGTTGAACATATTTTTCCTCGTACTGGAAAATACGAAACATTTTTTTTTGATATTCTTTCCTTTGCAGTTAAAATCTTCGTGGAGAAGGTCTTCCTTACTTCTCGCCTCCTGCTGTGTGATGCGATTTTTCATTAGCTTCTCTTCTTCGTCCAACATGAACTCCACGTCGGTATCGTCATACTTACCATCACCTGGAGAATGAATAATCAAATGGTTCAGGATGTCATTCTGCTCTTTGCACAGTTTTCCCGGCCTTGACGATCTGTACGGATCACCTTGGCTATAACGCTCTAGCTCGTCTTCGCTGTTTTCTTCCTCCACGGATGTGAACTGGCCATTCGCGCTCTGCTTGTCGCACACCGTTTTTCGCTTTAATTTGTTTCTACTTATCGTGACGATGCTTTCACCATCGTTTTGGCTACCATCACACTTGTTATCACCACAGTTTTCATTATCCTCATAATTTTTGGCATCATTTTCGCACATGACTATATCGCTCAGGTTCTCCTTTTGCGAACTGACCGTGCCTTCGCCCATGGAGGGGAAATGGTTCGTGTGTACGCTGTCGCTGCTTCCCTTGCTTTCAAACCGCTCATATATCGAATTCATGTCGACCTTATAACTGATTGGCTTCTTCCTCTTCTTGTCTATAGGGTCCGAGCTGTTCGTTGGTCCCATAAAGTGTGCGTTATCCGTGTTTTTGAATCTACCAATTGGTTTCCTTCTTGAACAGTTGTTCAGCTGTGTGCCGTAGTTTATGTTTTCCAATGAATTATCACTCGTGTTGTTCACTTGCTCCATGGCGGATGCGTCTTTTAAACAGTGATTTGCCTTTGACAGGTCTTTCTTCTTCTCCTCCTTTTCGCCCTTCTCATCCACTTTACCATCTACAGTACAAAAGTTCGATATGGACATATGTTTGGAGGAGTTATCGCAGCTGTAATATTCTTCGTCTGTCCTTCTGCCTGTCCATTCATTATTGTTCTGTTTATAATGGCCATAGTCCACCTCATCGTCGCAGCTGCCGGCCTGTTTTTTGTAACTCATAGCAGTAACTAACTCTTCTCCCCCAATGACGAAGGAGTTTATCTTCACGGAGGAGTAGCTATTACTGGAGTTATTTAAACATATGGGGAAGCCCACGACTACGGAACAGTTGGAAAGCAAACCGGGGATGAGGTCCTTGTTGATATAATTCCTCTTGTCCTTTGTCTTACTCTTAAGCGATAACTTTATCCACATTTTTAAAATAGCTTCTACTTTTTTATTTTTAATTAAATTTTTTTGTACCAAGTCTTCCACAGATAACCCTTTTTTGTTCAACAAACTGGTATCGGCCCCTAATTTGAGTAGCAGCTGCACCATCTTGTAGGTATGGTCTTTCTTTCTCTCATCTGGGCACGGGTTAAGTAACACTCTATGCAACGCTGTGTTCCCTTTGGCATCCTTCTTATTTATCTGCACACCATATACACAGACTAACATGCTCACTAGTCGACTGTATCCATACTGTGCAGCAACCATCAGGGGGGTTTCTTTTTCCACTTTATGACAGGCTTTATTAGGGTTCACTTTTCCTATGTCTATTATTTTCTGTACACATTCTTCACATCCAATTCTGCAAGCCAACATGAGCGGGGTTAAATCTTTCTCGTAAATAATATTCTTCATAGACGATACAAGTTCGCATGGAAAATCTTCTTGATTTATTTCATAATGCTCAAAAGATACCTCCTGCTTGGTTTCATCTGATTTTGCTAACAACTCTGGGTTATACATTAAAATGGAAGAAACATTATCACAATCATTTAGCAATAGAGAGTTGTATAATTTGATCATATTGACGTGGTTTTTTATCCTCATCAGTGTTTTATTCTCGCTATCTTCCGTAACATCCTCTTGGTGGTTTCCATTATTGCTGTTTGTGTCCTTATTCATTCTTTTTTCCTTACTCTTCATATTATTTGTGCCACTAACCCTTTTGCTGCACTTATGCTCGTTAGAGATGGAGTGTGCGCACAGGTTACTCGCCCTGGTGTTATGACTAGGGCTGAAATGACTGTTCATGTACCCCTGCGTCGTGTCCACTTCTTTATCAAAATTCCTCATGTCTTGCTTCTTCTGAATTTTATGTGTATCCTTCGGTAAGGAGCCTTTCTCATTAGTACTACTTCGATACTTGTTGACGTCTTCATCTTTGGTAGCACCAAAATCGTTCACATTACCGTTGCTGATGCTGCTCGAGTAAGAATACTTGGACTCATTTCGACCAGCTTCCCTTGTTGCTTCCTTAATCTTTTCATATGACCAGTTACTACCGCCAACGTTTCTATAATTATAAAAGGTGTCAAATTTAAATCCAAATTCATATTTTCCATTTTTGTAAAACAAGAGGCTTTGGAGGTGCGGTTCAAATTCTACACATAAATTATCGTTCGATTTAAATGTGGCAACTTCCATTTCACACTCTTCAATTTTTTCTGATGGAAATTCAGACACACAGAGGGGTAGTTTCAGTGGGCATATAAATTTTCCATTGCTTGTCCATAACCAACGGTAACCTCCCCATAAAATTCCCACCGAATTTTTCAACTCATTAGCACTGTGCCTGTTATCACATTCTTCAAAGTTGACCGTGCAGTTGAAAATAAAATGCTTCGCAGGGAACAGCGCTTCGTACGAATCGACACACAATTTGAACTCCTTGCATCCCATGTAATACATAGAACAGTTGCTCGATTCATCCCCGTGCTCCCTATAATTGTAGTAATCCTCTACATCGTTCAGATCGTTATTCTTGTCCTGCTTGGGAGAGTACATATTGCTGACCGCTTTGTCCTCAATCAGGGTGCCACATGGGTCCTGCGTATTACTTATGAATGAATAGCTGTTATCATTTGTATGATCTTCCTTGCAAAATATTTTGTTACTATTGATATATTTCTTCCTCCTATGTGAGTCGTTTACACTCTGTTTTTTTTCATCCAAAATGTACTTGGCCTTCCCTTGCGTAGCAGTGTCGTTAATTTCTTGTATGGAGCTGTACTTTACATTATACGAGTAGTCTTTTTTTATTTTGTGGAAATTATGAAGCCTATATTTTATGTGCACATTAGCGTCATTGCTAGTGGTGAAATAATCATGGATATAGTTGCTGTGCATAAAATTGCGGCCACTATGTTCTGGGATCAATTCGTTGTAGTACGAAGTGTAATGGGTTCTATTCACATCACTTAAATCGTAGTAGTTCGCATTTAAAATTTTCTTCTTCCTTTCATTGCTCCTGCTCTTATTTGTCTTGGAATAGTTATGTGTAATGTCGAAATTGTTCTTGGCATTCATTGCTATATCTTCATTTTTGCACAGCCTATTTAAATGGTTGTGTACGTTGAGCTCCCCCTTCATAATCATGTTAGAGCTTTCCTTGTCCATGTCTTTCTTTGTGCTTGTTTCTAGAATCTTCGCGTACGTTTTGTGTATATTGGTTATATTTTGGATGCTCGGCATATCCTTGGCATTTTTCTGCTCGCAATTGTTCAATGCATCTAAGTCAATTTTGTGCATTTCTGATTGTTTATATGAGTTGGTAACGCCGTAGTAATTTATGACTGGTACGCTTCGTACAGTTTTGACATTTTCTAGGGTTAGAAAATTCCAGTTATCCCCCTGCACAATTTTGCACTGCATAACATTGGCAAAGTTTACCGGCTCGCTTTTTATTTGCACATTGGGAGTTAAGAATAACGTGTTGGAAAAGGGGTCACCGGGGTATAAGTGATTAGACCTGGAATTATAATATTGTATTAGTATTTCATTATCCGGTTGCGCTATTATTAGAGGCATTTTACTCTTCTTCACTACTTTGGTTGAGGATTTACTTGCCCAGGCGGCATCTGTGAGGACGAAACACGTGCGCTTCCATAGGCTTCCGTTCCAATTCTTATTCATATTCGTCGTGCAGTTATTCCCATATTTCATTTTATGTACATTTTCGAATTTAAAATAAAAGTTGGTCAGAGGCGATGCGAATATCTTTTCATTCGTGTCAATAAATTTCATGTGAATTGAGGAGCTGCCAAAATTACTATCCTGAAATCCGTCTAATGTGTTATGTGACACCATGGGTGTTACCTTGATGAGTGGTACAAAATTGGTCATTTGCATACTGAACTCTTTTCGAAAAACTAGCGTGTCATTCGAGAACCACAGAATTTGCTTCCCAATGACCTTCACTTTTAGAACAACTTTATCCGCGGAGGATACTTTATTTATCATTAATGGCTTGACATTTTCAACACCGCCGTCGAAAAATAACCCCATGCTCTTCACCGTCCCGTCCGCTATATTCAGCGTGACAGAACTGTTCACTCTATTATATTCATCATTTGAATTTATGGCGCTCATCTCGGATAGCGTCTTCGAGTACGACACGTCGTTGCACGTATCGGACGTCATATACTTGTCATAATTGGCATTTCCATCTGCCTTTTCAGAGTTGTTTATGGAAAACCTCTTACTGCCAGTTACTCTTTTGTTCACTGCGGAATAGCTCAAATGATTCTTCCTAATCTGTTTAGTCGTCTTTGCGTGGCGCGAATCTGCTTTATGGGCACCACTGCACTCATTTGGATTTGCCCTTTTCGCATACACCTTTTTCTCCACACTCTTTGGTAGGAAGGACGCATACTTTAATATTTTTTCTTCGTCCTCATCGTGTTGTGCGTAATTGCTATAGCTAATGAGCATATTCTCCGTAAGTATGTGAGAATTAGGACTGTTGCTATTTTTGTGAAAATCTCTATTAACTGACATCTTGCAATTTCTGTACCTTTTGAATTCGTCCACGTTCGGTTCATATAGGCTGTGCGACTGCGACGTGTCTTTTTTTCCTGAATCGTAATTGACACTCACATTTAGCAGCCCCACTTCTATGTGTACCAAATCGCTAAGTCGTTGCACGGCACCTTTCTGTTTATTCGATACACCAAGAGAAATGCTAAAGGATGAATTATGTGCACCTGAGTATATTTCGGAATCTCCCATTAAAATGAAAGCCTGTTGCAAGTTACACAAATCAACTAGTTCTATATGGGAACCCAAATTAACCTTTTCAACCTTTTCCAGGTCTAAATCCGCATTTAACGATTTAGATTCGAGCAACAAAAATTCTTGAACCTTGTTATGCTTAATTTCTTGTAGCACGTAGTGAAAATCATTGTCTGCGCTGAACACTATAGAAGGGTATTCAATCGCTTTTCTGGTGACATACCTAAGTTCTTCCTTTTCCCTTTGCAGTAAATGCATGATTCGATCTACATTGTGATTGTCGTTTCCAGTAATGGCCTCTTTGTGCGAATGGTGGTAGTTGTGCGGGTATTTCCCCCCTGGCGCAAAGCGCTCTGTTTTTTCCTTAGGTATAGGGAACATGTCCTTTATTTTCAGCTTAACCACATCTGCATTGGGTGAACATATGTGGTGTATTTTTTCATTAATATCAATTATGACATTTGCACACACTTTCTTGCTTAACTGCAGCACATTGTCGACGAACATTTCGGGGTAGTTGCCCTCGTAGGAATCATCCAGAATGTCTTTTCTCTGCATTGTATTCATAATTTTGTTATTCTCAGCAAAGAATAGGTGCTTGTTCTTGTCCCCTTTTATTGTACTAGCCTTTTTTTTCGGTTCCTCCTCCTCCTTACTATGGAAGGAACAACTTTTGGCCCCTTTTTTCAGCTCAAAATCGCACAAATCTTGCGAACTTTCATTTGGTTTTTTTTTCAAGCCATCCGCAGGGGAAGACGGTACTCCAAGGTTCAATTCATCCATTTTGGGAAGTCCTCTTTGTCTGCCGCTTCGTCTCACGCTCTTAGCATACATTTTTGACACGTGATCCACCACGTATAGGTACAGACAGTACTGCTTAAAATTGGTATGCACATGCTCATCGAGGTAATTCATGTTATTACACATATCGACCTTCTTAATGTAGTACGCAGCACAAGCGAAGTAGTGTATAAGCAAAGCTGCGTTAATCTTAAGAGGGCTGTATGTGCTTTTCTCCTTATTGTCGAAGATATCAAAAGTGGCAAAATTGTGAGTTGTCTTCTTCTCATTCTTGGTACTAGCAACAGTACTGTTTATATATAGTGTGTTGGGACCTGTAGATGCGTTTCCATTATTACATGAATTAACCGTTTCGGTATTCTCCTGCAGGCTGTTATTATTCACATTGTTGGACGACATGTTCGGACTGGCTCTATTTGTTATATTCAAATTGTAGATCGTTTCATTACTAACACTGCTGATTCCGTTAAAGTTATTATTTACCATCCTGTTGTTCGCGGAGTTCTGTATGCAGGTGAGGATATCACTGATGTTGTTATTTAGGTTGTCTATAATATTGTTTACGTGCTCGTTATTATTTCTAACATTGTTGTTGCTGATGTCGATGGGCTTGTTCTTATTACAATTTCCACTTTTGTAATTGATGCCCTTATCCAAGTTCAAAATTTGGTTAAAAAGGGAGGACCCACAAATGTGCACACAGTTGAAAATGTAAGACAAGAATGCGTGGTAGTTGCACTTCACACGTTGGTACTTCTCCTCAACAGTGTTGTATCTTTCGTGTTTCCTTTCCCAAGTATTCTTATAAGTGTTACCTTTCAAATCGTAATCATCGACCATTGTCTCAATTTCAACGCTAAAATGCGTTATCATATCCATGTCCTGCAATTTCTTATACCTTTTATGGCTCCGACTATTTTGTAATATATACACTACACAAGACCAGTACACCAGTCTGCACGCATCTATACCAATAAAGGTAGGTAGTCTATTTCCGTTCATAATTAATCCGAAGAGGGAGGAAACTGCCAAGGGAGTAACACAACAAGATCTTACTCTCGATGGACATAGAGGATGTCTAACAAATGTATCCAACATCCAGTGCGCAACGTGAACTGAAGGAGAAAGGGCATAGAACATGTCCACCTTCACTCTCTTTTGAGATACACTCTGAGCAATAGAACCCACTAAATGGTATATCAATTCGGACTGAATTATAAGGAGCAGCTGATCTACTAACTGTTTATCATCCCAAGTAATTACACACTGGTAGAATATCCTTTGCCATCCGAACAGGAGGGAACATTTGCAACTCTTCTCGTTAAGCAATTTATATACATTTTGTTTCATCTTCGAATTTCTAATCTGCCCTTGGTATTCTTGCCAATAATCCTCTTTCCTAAAATCTTTGCTTCTACTTAGGTAATAAATGCATATGCGGAAGAGGTACATGACGCTAAATATGTTTAGCATCTCCTCCTTATTCTTCAATGCGCCACTCATCAGCACAGATATGTTATTTATTTTGTTTCTTCTTTCGCTTCCTTTACTGCTTCCCCTCTCAACGTTGTTGTGTAGCGTACTTATGTTCAAATTTTCGTCCCTATCATCCTGCGTATAGTAGCCATCGTCATCCGTCGACAGAGTGCCATTCTTCTTTCCATCAGCAGGGTCGTAACCAAAGCCATGCTTGCTATCTTCCCCCTCCATTTTATCGCCAAACGCATCGTACACTCTGCCATTTGATGCGTTGTTGAACATGATGTTGGTTTTGTCTGCCCCATATTCTTTAGCAACTATTTCATTTTTCTTACTCCTCCTTTTCTTCACATTTGTCTCTTTGACAATGGTATTATTATTGCACGGAATGGGACCTCCTGTAGTGAGATCCACGCAGGCGTTGTTGATGCCGGATAAGTGTTCCCCCACCTTCGCGCCTTCATTTATTCTTACCAAGCTTTCCTTCAGCTCATCCATAAACAATTTTGGCAATAAGGATGCCATAACGCAGCTTAAATCTATTAGATACTTTTTTAACACCCACGCTGCAAAAAACTTCGCCGTCTTTCGTACTATCTTGTTGGAGAAACTCGAAGTGGAATACTCAAAATCGAAAAGCGCATTCTTCACACCACCATTATTTAGCTCACCAACATTCTGGGGAAAACATAAGGAATATCTACTTTGGCTATTGAAACAAGCTAAGAGATTCATGATGTAGATCCACAAATCGAAGGTATCATTCTGTGTTATCACCTGCTGGTTTTTAATTGCTGGAGTTTTTATATTAAAATATTGGAAAAAGTCCGATGGAATTCCGCAAATGGATAGAATTTCTAACAAGTTCACTTGTTCGTTTGTGTTAACTTCATTGTCAACACTGCTCCTTCCTTCGGGGGCATGGGGGGTCAAAAAATAAGCGTCTTTCGCGTCGTCGGAACATAATCCACAGTTTTCACTCTCTGCCTTGTTCATGAAGGTGCCGACGAAGGAGGAGGCGATGGCACCGGCAGGTTTACAAGTGATGTTCTCTGCTTCATCATTTTGGTTACCTCCCTTTTGAGAATCTTCCCCCTTGCCGTATCCAAATAGGTAATCTACCTTCACAGAGTTCGTCCTCGCAAAATGCAGTATCAGCGCATCACTGATGCCAATATCCACGAAGAAGAATACCTTAATAAAGCTTAAAAGCTTCTTAAAAGACCCGTACACATTCTCATTGGGTTGATAGAACCCATCGGAATTCATCTCCAGAAGAGTTCGCAACAAAATGCAGCAACACATAATTGCTTTTGTTCCAATCAAACACAGACTATATTCGAAAAAGCCATTTTTTCTAACCTTATCTGCAAAGGAAATATTTTTAAAATCAGAACCCTTCTTGTTCAAATTTCTGTCTAACAGCTTGTCCTTGCTGATAAAGATTTCCTGGTTGTCATTAACTAACTGATTTTCTTCATGTTCTTCTAACGATCCATTTTCTTCAATAAAAATTGAATTCATTAAAGAGTTATCATTATTGCTGTTACCATTTCCTGAGGTTACACTATTGTCCACACAACCACAATTGTTTATATTGATCTCATTTAACGTATTTGTGCTGTTGTTGCTGTTCTCATTGTTCACCATATTCTGGTTGTATGAATCATCCGCTGTTTCAATAACCTTTTTAGACTCAAACTCGCTTAAATTTTTAAACCTCTTCTTAACCTTTTTGTTGTTCTTTCCCCCATTTGTGCTGTGCTTCACCTTGCTCACGGTCACCCCCCCTTTTTTGTGCAATTTCTTCGTAACAAAATTAAATATGGCTTGGAGGAAAACATCACTGCAGATGATGTCTACCAAATTGCAGAAAAACAGCTCGATGCATTTTCTGTCCAAACTGTAAGCTACTGAATTTTTCAACTCGGATAAGCTTGACAACCAGGGAAGTTCATCAATGGAGGAATTTTTCCCATCCTGATTCTTATCCTCAAATTTTTTTTTCTCTTCTGGGCTTACATTTAATCCTAAGACGCATATGATGGACAAAACTTCTCTGATGCACTTGTTTATATCTAACACTGCTTTTCCCTTTTTGTTGTACACATTTACGTAGAAGGACGAATTTTGATTCGCGACATACGTCTGGTCACTCTTCTGCTTCACTAATTTGTCAATCTCAGTGGCACGGTTGCGTAATTCATTAGACTTCACATCGTTATTTATATTGTCTGCGCCATTTGGTTTTTCGCTAAAATTAATTATGTTAAAAGTGTTTTGATCGGACAAGGTGAATTCCTCCTTCATATCATTCTTTGCACCATTACATTCCCTCGCTACATATTTTTCTCCTCCCGTGCTGCTGCATACAGAATTCTGCGTTTTTTTATGCACATATTTTTTTGTGCTCTTATCCAGGAGTGGTCTATCCTTACCAAGGCTACCAGGACCCTTACTTCTCACTACCTCACACGATTGAGTGTTTAGAAGTGTCCACTTAGGGTTTTTCGCTTTGTTCAAATGGGGAATGTTTCCCAAATTTCTAACGCGTGAAATGTTTTCCCCTTGCACCTGGTCCATAAATAAATAATCTGATGAATTTTTTCTCAAATATTCTGCTACACTAGTCAACGTTGTATTCATTCTTATTATAACTTCATGCTTCAAATCCTTCAATATTTCATTTTCTGAATCAAGAATGGACTGATACAGTTTCACGGATTCGTAAAACTCTTTCTTTTTTAGTTTTATCTTTTTTAACTGCTTTTTTATGTTTTTCTTGTTATGGCCACCAATGGCATAAAATTCGTTCAGATACTCCTCATCCAAATTTTCCTTTTCATTTCTAGCATTTCTGGACTTGTTAGTGTTGGGGTCTACGTACTCCATGGTAAAGGTTGGTCCCTCATAAACAATGGTCATGGGATCTTGAAAAATAAATATTAAGTTCATTCTCCTTTCAAATTCCATTTGTGAATCTGCTTCGAATAGCACTTCAAGGACGGATCCGATGCTAACCCCTGAGACCATTAGTTCTGTTCTTAAGCATTTTTGATTCTGCTGATCTTCTACATTAAATTTTACGCTCAATAAATCGCCTAGCTCATATTGCACATTGGCAGCAAAAACGTCGTGTCTAAACGGAGGACACATACTTGTGCGAAATCCAACTACGTCATTTCTGTCAAATACTTCGGACACGTTCGACAAAACACATTCTGCTGGGGCAACGGTCACTCCGAAGCGGCCTCTCGTCTGAATACGAAAATTGATTATATCGTTTACTTCGTGCGGACCAATATTCAAAGCAGGGAATGTCAATGGTGCTAGGCATAAAACGACACCTCCTAAATTTAACCCACGCAACACTCTCAGAACTCTTCCTTCCATATTCGCTTCAAAATCGTCTGACGGTCTACTCGACATGAAAAACTCAGATTGGGGTAATTCATCAAAGGGGTGATTACGGTACGATACCCTCGGTATCAATCCTAATATATCATTGATGCTGTTACATTGGGAGTTTCCTTCATTATTGGCCGTATTTATATCCATCTGATAATTGACAGAAATGTTCTCCTTTGAATTTGTATTTATGGGTAACTCATCATTTTGGCATGCTTCATTTGCACTATTGACTCCTTTTCTATCTTCATATTCCTTAGGTGTCGATTCGGTACTACTGTCGTTGGAAAAACTCACCTCGCTATGGAACAACTTTTTCGTTTCCTGTAGGATCAACTGCTTGGGGAACATCTTAATGGGGGGCAAACATCTCAGAAGAAAGAACCCGTGTATCTTACTCTGCTTATAATTTCTCATCACATTCGTGTCATAATTTTTAAAGAAAAAATTAGACATTTTCATATTCGTCCCTTTATGCCTTATGGAGCTTCCATGGTTGAGATTCTCTTTTGGTGATGTAGCCACGCTGTTGTAGGTCGCATTGGTAGAGCTTCCTTTCACTCGGGCAACGGTCGTCGTTTTGATCTTTCTAACCTGCTGATTCATGGAATTATTTTCCTGATCTATTCCATACATTTTTACAATCTTTTTATCAAAGTAGTTGTTGAAAAAGACAGTGATGTCATCTGCATCGTTAGGAGCTTTTTTAATACATTCCGTGATCAATCTGTAAAAATTGCAATTTATGTTGAGCTTATTCAGTTTCTTAAAACGGTATGTGGGATTATCCTGGCCAAAGAGAAAGCACCTTAGGAGAGTCACCGCTCCCGTTGGAGAATTCTGAACACAATTTATCAAGGTGTACATAAAATCAGTAATCATTTTTTCACAATCCTTCACTTGCTGCTTACATATTTTTGTGTTACTTATTCTGATGTAGAAGGAACAACCCTGCTGATTTTTTGTCAAGTCATTGTACAGCTTCACAATGTTGCACAATTTTATCAAAACAGACATGATCATTTTTAGAACGGATTCTATGAGGCTCTTCCTTTGCAGCGAGTAAAACTGAGATTTATAATCGGTGTAATTATTCCCATAAGTGTACTCCTCAGTTATGTCCTCTGGAATGTTACTACTTGCATTATTCTTTACACATTTTGTTCTACTCTCTGAGACGACTTGATCTGAATTTTCCCCGTGGGCATTTTCACCAGACACTAAAATACCCCACAAGATCGTTTTTATCAAATTCCAGCTTATCAATTTTAGCTTCCTATAATTCAAATTATCGTTCTGATCATAGCTGCCTGTATTTATACCCGTTTTACAATTTTCAGATTGGACACTTTTGTACGAACAGTCATTATTGTTATCATTAGGAGGGTCATAATCGGTGGAGAATTTCCTGCACTGGCAAACGTGTTCTGATGCATACTCATAATTCCGATTTATGTAATTTTCAAATCGGCTTCTTCTCTTCACTGAGTTGATTAACTGATTCTCCTCGTTAGAGTCCTTTTGGAGTTCATTTTTTACCAACTCGTTTTCGTTATCTACTGCTTTTTCCTTTCGTGATGAACTTCCCGTAACATTGGTGGCACACGGATCTGTGCATTCTATTAGCTCCTTGTTTATAATAATTGCCTTCTTCTTGGTCCAAATATTTATCACGTCATTCACATCGTTGTTGATAGAAAGTTCCAATTCGAAATTGTTCTTTTTGAGGAAGGACCTCACAGACGCATCATAATTCTTATTGACACATATTTCTAACTGCACATCTGATATAGTTTTGGCATTACCGTAAATGTTATAAACGGGGTCCCCACTGATAGACCAGTAACATGAGTTCGATTCATCATCTACGTTTTGGAAAATATTTCTGTTCGTATGTTTGACCGACTTATTCACATTTCTTAGTGGCAATGTGTAATGGGGCGAATTGCTATACTGCTGTGTGCACAACGCCCAATACTGATTTTCGTGCGTGTACTCCTTCTTTATTTTAAAACCACTCAAATTTTGCAAAATCATTGTTTTGTTTACAGGCACACCATCCTTAACCGTTGCGTGGTACACAACAATACCTGTGATTACATTGTCCAATATCACTTCATGTTCGTGTTCATGTTCTGACGAATTGTAGTTCCTCACACGCAACACCTTTTGTGTGATTTTCATCTGCTTCTTCTGTACACGTTCTGAATGTATATATCCCTTTACGTCCTGTACATTTTTGTTTTCCTCACTGGTGTTGCAAACTTTCTTGGCGTAGGTCATTTCGCTGGAGTTTATTTTCCTAATATTTTTTAAATTCTTTCCAATGGGAAAAATCTTAGAGTTCACATTTTTAGAAGTTCCTGTTATGCATTTGTGGCAATGAGAACACATCACTTCGAATAGAGAATTATTACCATCCATAAAAATGGCCCTTCTGTTGCCTCCTATGTTTTTTTTTTTCAAATTATCACTGTTTATGTGCACTTCTCTGAGTAGAGGCTGGCAGATGGTCAACATGTGGTACAGGAAGGGGACTACATACCTGCTGTCATTTAGGGGCTTGACTCGTAAGCATATTTGCAAAGCTATCAGACGCAAGACACTTTCAATCCACAGCGTGTTCATGGAATTTTTTATAATTTGTGAAAATCTAGACGAGTTGGTCAGCATTTTGCGATTGTACCTTAGGTACCATATACATGTGCTCTTCGTGATATCCGTCAGGGTAAAGGACAAGGCGTGCTCCATTGGTTCCGTGAACCAGTAGTGGTTGGAAAATTGGTTCTTTACATTTAGAACGTCACAGGCAATACTACTCCCATCGTTCCTGCCTCCTTCATTCATCTGCGTGATCACGTTTTTCAACGGAGAGACATTCCTAAACTTTATAGTAATAATATGCAACAATTTCAGCAGCATCCAGCCATAATTTTGAACCGAGAAGAGAGACGGCTCTATGTTGGAAGTTACTTTGTTATCTTCGTTGTATGTACCTCTGCTGGAGGACGGTACTAGCAAGTCCAGTATGACAGGCCACTGCATACTTTTAGACGATTTCTGTCTCCACTGCTCAAATATCCCCTTCTTCCTCTTGTCGTCTTTGCTATACTTCTTACTTGTTTCGAAATTTTTATACTTCCTTTGGTCTCGTAGCATCCCTACTTTGCCATTATCACATAGAGCGATGCGTCTGTTCTTTTTGTGGAAGGAGATCCCCTTCTCCTTTTTGTTTCCGCTTGGTATGTTTGTCTCAACTAAGCGACGCTTTCCATCTGACATAGTTTGCTGGTTTCTACTACCCACAGTGATATTCCCACTTCCACTGTTACTATTATCCACATTGTCATAATTTGTACTAGCATAGAACCCATTTCTATCTACGCTCTTCTCATTGCAATTACTCTTCTTCTTCTTTTTAATATCATCCGAATTTGAGTTATATCCCTTTTGGGATCGCTTATTTGGGCATACATTATTATTCTTGTTCATGTTAACTATGGGGTTTTTTATACCTCCAAAAATGCCTGCACACAGCATTGACTTTAGGCTCCTACTGATAAGGTAACGACACAGGGTGGTTAACTGCTCTATCCTGATGATGTTCAAAACGGTATCAAGATCCGTGTCGTTAATTAAAAAGCTTAGTATTTCTTTTAACTGCAACAAGTCCTTTGAGTCGACGCTCTGGTCCATGATGCTGTTAACATTTACAATTACATCTGTGTCCACCTCTTTCGAATTAACGGGGGTGACCTTACCTCTAAAACTGTCACAGGAGGGGAATGCTTTTTTTTTGTCAGACCCCTGCTTGTTCTTCATTTCATCATGGTACGCTCTCATAAAATCTTGCTTATGGATTGAGAACATTTTTTGCGATTTCGAAAGACCATTACATTTATTGTGTACCCCGGACAAGTTATGTTCTGATAGATTGTCTTCATAATCCAACATTGAATTCGTGTACTTGGTGGCGTATCCAGCGTTACAGTCCCACTTGCTACCGTTGTTTCCGTTTCGGATAATGAAGTCATTTTCATCAAATGATTTGAGGGAAAAAAAATAAAAATCAGATTTGCAATTTACCATGGTTGAGTTTAGATCTTCTGCTGCTGTGACATCATTGACGTGGTGGGAAATATAATTCTTCGTCAACCGAGAATCTTGCCATAAGCCTCCCCCTACAGCATGCTTCAAATTATTCTTCTCATGATTGCAGTATTTCATAATAATAGAGTTGTTCGAATTATCATTATGCTTTTCACAGAAGTTGTAATTCATATAAAAGTTCGACTCATCATTGTAAAAGTTGGCGCTATCGCAACTTGGGCAACTGTTGGAGGAATTCCTCGCCTTGGTGTTACAAACGTACATATCTATCTGCTTTGTATTATCCCCGTTGTCCTTGTCTGATTTGGCATCTCCATTATTGGAGTCCTTCAAACTAACATTCCTTTTATACGTTTTTAACAATCTTTTCAGAAGACACAAATTTTTGGTCGTCCCTTTTCCGAAAATATTTTCCGTGCTAAATTGTATACATTCTAGTTTATCATCAATATTGTTTGGGTGTCTAAGGATATGATCAAAATAGCTCAGGGAGGAAACATTTGTTTTTAACGAGCTGGCAAAGGTCGGCATGGTGGCAGCTTCCTGCACCATATGCAAGTCACTACGATCTGAGTATATCTTCCTAGCAGTAATGGGGATGTCATACGAATTTCGTCGCATGAACACAAAGTGCTCATCCCATTCGTGTGACAAATTGTCCTTGATAACTATTGGGCATAAGCCATGTGGGTAGGTATTAATAATCCATTCACACTTTTTTAATATCTTATCGATTTGCTTTTCCCTCTTCCTTTTTATTAAATCTACTGCTGACAGTTCGCTACTTTTGTTGCTGCACTTCTCAGCATTCGGTAACACATCGTTGAGGTAGTTTAATTCTTCTTTCTTCAAATTGCATGAAATGTACCCAACCCCTTCTGCATCTGATGAGGGTTGCTGTCCATGCTCCCCTACATGCTTGCTGCATAGAAATTCGTTGTGTTCGTCACTATGGGTAGAGTTAATGCTTTGCTGCTTTTCATAAAGCGCACCCTTCCTATCGCCCACCACTTCTGCATCATGCGCATGGTCCACTCCATCCACATGGTCCAACTCCCTGTTGTATAATTCCAGGAACTCCATACTTTTATCGTTCGCTTTCTCTTCGCTCCATTTGGACTTGGACGAGACCTTACATTCGATGCTCCCCTTCTGATGCTGTATTTGGCTCTTTGATATCAGGTCAATTACTCCCTGCCTGGCCAAATTACACGCAATGGTTATTTTCTTCATTTCTAGCGCTTCACTTATGAGGGTAGCACTTTCCTTTATTTCCCTACTGCACACATCACTGTGTGGGTCATTGTCCATGTGTCCGGCTTGGCTGTGGTTATAACCGATGAGGTACAAAAACACCGCAACAAAGGCTATTTGGGCTCTTTCGAAATTTTTGTGGAACACGTTGTAAAATGTACCCAGGTACTTTACAGCATCCTTGTCATTATTCATCAGCCTCTTTAAAAACTCTATGTTTGTCTTATTGAACATTTTGGTGGACTCGTTTTCTGTGGGTGCCTTCTGTGTTTCCTCCTTCCTGCTAAGATTTTCCCCTTCAAAATTGTTCGGAGGTATTACCTCCTCCTCTTCAGCGTACATCGATTTGTACGTCCTCATGTAAGACTTGGCCACAGACTTAAGCTCACATATGTTAATTTCATTGTTGGATCTATTTGTTAACATACTGTTTGGAGATCCTTCCTTGATGATCTCATCCTCACCAGTCATTTTAGTAGCCGATAAGAAGCTAGAAATGCTCTCCGGAATTATGTAGTGATTGAACAGGTAGTTCTCATAGTCGCACACAGAGCAGTCTGTAAGCTGAAGCAGAATAGTCCTTATGGCCTTCTCAAACTCGTAGTACTTGTTCCTTTTTGAAGAAATTCGAATGTATTTTGCGGCATTGATTAGAATGAGCGGTATGGGGTACGGGTTCGCACTTATCAGGCTTTTCCTCATATTCACGTATATTTCATATTTGCTGACATTGTCCGACATAACAGTAAAGAAGGTTAAGAAGTGAGTGGCCAAACTTGTAATGCTTATGCAACACTCGGCAATAGGGTGCAAGGTGTCCTTGTACACCGACATTTCGTAGGACAGGTGTCTAGATGTCAACAGGCCCTGCAATGTTATTTTTAAAAACATGGGCCATATGTTCAGGGCCATTTTTAACGACAAATAATTTTTCAATTCCTTGATGTAGGAATATCTGTTACTTTTCTTATCCACAAAAAGGTTGGTGACGTATCCCAGGCAGGGTATTATTCCGCTTATTATAAAATTACACGCTTGCAAGAGGGTCAGACTCTTCGGCTTAATCATATTTTCACACAACTCTAAAAATGACGTTTTCTCATTAAAGTCATTTCGGATCACCTTAGACCCAAATATGTGTATAAATTTGTGCATCCCGTTCTTTTCGTACAGGTAGTGATACGAAATGCTCGAAAGGACGCGTAACCCCACACCTAGCATTATTTTTAATATTTCCTCCAAAAGCGAAAATATAAAATTCAGTTTTTTGGAGTCATTCTTATATTTCATTATTTTCTTTCTCAGAATCTTAAGCTTCTTCCCATTTTTCATGTACTTTTTCTTTTTGGAAAATTTATACATTATACCATTCAGCTGTGTTTTGAAATTGTTCGAGTCACTATTCGTTTCGTTATAGTCTTGCAAATTTTTCCTTATGTAGAACTCTTCAGACTCGTCCGAGTTGTAATAATACTCAGAAAGGCGCATGGACCTACTCTTGCTATTATGAGATTCAATGGACTTCCTATGATTTGTCGTGACATCCATATTGTCATCATTTATGCTCTCCAAACTGGTTTGAACAAAGTCGGACAATTCGTTCTTGTTTATATATATTTGCGATCCTGAATCGTCCGAATGGGACATGACATCATCCAGTAGGCCCTGTTTTTGGCTGCTCACTAGGGGAATCCAAGACTTTTTCTTCCTTTCCCCCTTGGCATACATTACGAAATGCTTATTTTCTGTGTCTAACGACGAATTCGGGCTAAACAAACTGGAGTACTTACTGTTACAACTACTTCTATCCTCCATGTCATTGCTGAACGTGTCAAATATATGGTTCTCCAAGGTGGATGATATGATGGATCCATTTGGCAACAAGTCCCTGTTGGCCGATTCCCCCTCTTGGCCTTCCTCGCTAGTATCCCCCAAGTGTTCCACTTGCTCCATTGCGCCTCCTGCCCATTTAGCATCCCTTAACTGCATCCTCGAGTTGTGCTTCCTATCGTCAGGTTCCCCCTCCCTTGCCATTTCGTCGTACACATTATAGAACGGAATGACCGGCTGATACAAAAACGTTTTTGCACTTTCATATTCCGTTGCTAAGGTCAATATGTACGTCGTCAGCATGAGCACAATGCCTCGCAAAAAAATAGAGGCCACTTCACTAGCACTACTCACATGATTGTTCTTGTGCTTTATCTGATTCAATATTTTTACACAAAAGTCAAAGTAGCTATAATTTACACAGCCCTCATTCTTCCATTCATCTTCATAAAAACAACACAACTTGTGAATAATGTCACACGCTTTGTTTTCCATCAAAAAATCGCTCTCCTCGTTGTACTGCACAACGGGCACATTGATTGCATCATTCGTTTGATGATTTATAAGAGACATTAGCTCTTCGACGAATATTCCAAAATGTGTGGATTCTATGATCCTGCTCTTAGTGTTTTTTTTTCTCTTCTCGTATCTCTCAATTTCATGTTTGTTTTCCTCGTAATACTTCCTTTTCTTTCGTTTTTCTTCCCTATTTCTGCTTCCATTAGCATCATTTATGTTGTCCACGCTAGCGTTGTACACAGTCGAATTAGACGACGCTGACGAGGATGTACACGCATTCATATTTTGAGAGTTTACGTATCGATTAGTTGAGCTGAAGTTCATCTTCCTATAAGAACCGCTTGAACAGTTGTGATATGGGACACTTAACATCCGTTTCATCATTATTTCCAAAATGCCCTTATGTTCCAGAGATTTTAACAGTTTTAATATTATGTGCGAATCAAGGCTGTTATTATCGGAAAAGAACTTGAGCAATTTTAAGATTGTTTCTATATGAATCCTCATAAAAACATTGCTTATAATTATTTTATCCGCCTCTAGTAGTATTTGAAAGACATTTTTCCTGAGTAGCCATAAACTCCCATTCAGGTCCAACTCCTCCATTTGATAATATTGGTTTACGCAGTAATCTTCCCTTCCTATGAACGGACTTTTCAACTTAATTATTTTCAAAAAGGATGTAATCAATCTTTCAGACAGGGAGTGAAAGTTCTCATTATTTTCTATCCTGTTATTTTGCACATGCATGTTGTTTTTTAAATATAGCTTTAAGATGCTCAAGGCGCAGATTTGCGAATCGGATGTTTGGTTCCATTCGTACAGGTACTCTCTATATATTCCAACCCATTCTTTGCTTTCACTCGTGCAATAGGTTGCGTAAGGGTTCGGGTAAACGGCGTCGTTTTCTTGGTCCTCATCAGGGCTAAGATCCACCCCAGGAACAGCGCAACCTTTGGCCAATTTGAACAACTTCCTCAAAATTTTATTGTTATTTTCTGTGTACTTAATTAGTGTCTCAAAGGTGTAAATATCAATGTTGTTGTATAATGTGTATGAGGTATCTTTTTCCATTATCTTCCTATAGTCGTCGTCATTCCAATCGCAAAAACGATACATGTATCGATTCAGCGCAATGGACACCTTATTGTAAAGCTCCACTATGTTAAGCGGGTTTCTGAGTAGAAAGTTTCGATGGATATCTGGGATTAATTTTATGTTTACTAATTCATCGACGAATGCAGAGGACCAGCAACAATCCTTTGGAAACTCAAAGAAGCACGTGCGTGAGGTGTACACTTTCAACTTTATATTGTTATTTATTAGTATGTTGTTATCTAGAAGGGAGTTCTTCTTTCTTATACTTGTTGTTAGTAAATGCCTTCCGTTGGAATAAATCACTATTTTCCCATGATCGTTTTGAAAATCGCAAGTATTCCCATCATTGCTGTAACATCCTTGATCGATCAGTATGTCAAAAATGATGGTGTTCATGTTCGTAATATCGTACACATTGATCAGTTTACTCGCATTTTTCGTCCGGTTCTTCCCCCTCTCATGACTAGTTACTTCGCTGTTAATGATACTGCTAGGCTGGTAAGAGTCCTGTTCGTTATGCCCCCCGTTTGACATTTTACTTGATTTGTCATAAGTCTCCCTTTCAACTTCTTCCTTTTCTTTAGAGAATGATTCTGCACCAAATGGCTTCATCAATTTGGTGTACATATGATTCTGCTGAAAATTAATCTCCAAAAAGTTGTACTCCTGTTGTTTACTAATACTTTCCTCCGAACTTTCATCTGTGCTCTTTTTTTCACTCCCTTCATCTTCCACCATCTGAAATGTTATCTTACATTTTGAGCCAAGTTCATCCAACACCTTTATCGAATTGTCAATTTCGAAGGAGACTGCCACTTGAAATATGTATGATCCGTACGTGGGCAGAACGTTACTGGAATACTCACATGGCTTGGCGATATCTTTCAGACACCTCTGTGGATTATTGTTTATTTTTAAAAACATAGGATACTGTAGGGAAAACAGTTCCAACAGTTTCAGTGACTCGTATTCGTGCAACGGAATTCTACACATTAGCTTGTTAAAGTTTGTGTAACTGGAGTAGAATTCTTTATTACTATTTTCTACACCTACTACGGTGCAATCCTTTTTTTTTTCCTCCGATTTGTTGCCAATGATGAGGTCTCCATCATTATTACCAACCTTTTTGGAACACGAACTTATTTCATATCGCAGGTAGGGGATAATAATGTACTCCGCCAGGGTGTTCAAAAAATGCACCAAATATTTTAGCGAGTTCTCATACACCGCTATGGTTAAAAAGGTGTCGACTATCCTGAGCGTGAAAACCAAGTCTTTATTACAAATGGCATATTTCAATATCTCCCTGCAAATGTCACTAGTATTATTGTACAAATGCAATGGCAGAAATGAGTAATTCAATTTATCACATGGGTTGAAATGTGTCTCCGGTGTTTCTTTGCTGCACATGTGAGAGTAGTTCTTCTTGCTTTTATTAAGCAGCTGTCTAAGAAACAAATATATCTCGTCGTTCTCATTTTTAAGATAATTTATCCCTTTTAATATAATTTTAAAAATGTCGTAACAATTCACGCTGTACACATTTGATGGGACTGCTGCGGTACTATTTGATGGGTTTTTATTGAGGTTAAAAATTTTGAACACCATGTCCTGCACTATGGATGAATCATCCAGTTTGTTTAGAAAATCCGATTTTGTGTTAGAGCAATACTTTTCATAATCCGGAGACGGAAGCATTGCGCTTATTATTTTCCCCGTTTTAAACAAGGGAGCTTCTATGTTATCACTCATGGCATGCTCAATCATGGACTTAACCTCTGCGATTGACTTATTCTGATGGTTATATATAGAATTCCTTACATTTTCCAAATACTTTGGCAACAGAATAATGTTGTTCGTCACCTTTGAAATGTTTGTGAAGCTTCTACTGTCTGAATTCTTTACCTTTTCATTTTCATCATTTATGATGGCATCATTCAAGCTAATCATTTTTAGAAATTCCTCATATTTTTTATCCTTCCACGATGTACTGTCCATTTGATTCAGGACGTTGTATAGGTAATCTCCATATTCTTCCAACTCGTCAAACGGCTCCATCACGCATTTTTCGTCAATACATTCATTGTCCGACGCATCTGCATTATCCTTCAATTTGTGCGTTTCACTTATGGTAGAATCATGAAACTTTTCGTCATTTTTAATGCTGCTTTTTTCGTAACTGTCCAGATTGGCTTGCTCGTCCAGTTCGGAAATGTCCGGTTTGCTATCCGTAGGAGTATCACTTTTTTTGAGAGACGTAATGATAAATTTGATCAGTGTTCCACATATGTGATGGTAATATTTTCTCTTCTTTGACTCCAAATAGTTAATGAACTTTAAAATATCCTCTTCGCATTTTTTGTTCTTACTAGGATTATATTCACTGAATTCTAAGCACCTGACAAATTCTAAGTAGACCCTTGCTTTATGTAACAAGCGCAAAATATTTTCATAATTACCTATCACCCGGGAAGATGACTGCAGGAGCAGGAATTCCCCATAGTTGCTAATGGATTTAAAAAATCTGGTTCTGCTTAGGACGACGAACTCGGAAACGTAACATTTATTTTTGTTCTGAAAATGGTCAAGGATACTCCTTAATTTTTCCGAAATTAAAATTTTGTCCTTTTCTCCTATATCTTCACACAGCGAATATAACTCATTCATTTTTTACTTCTTTGCTATGTCGGGCACTTAAAACTACGCTTAGGATAACGCTTATATTGACAAACTACCGATGTGACGGGGGCAGGGACGGAAAAAAGACACACGAAAGGCAATAAAAACGTTGAAAACGGCCGAAAAAAAAAGAAGCAGCGGTTGGTAAGACTCATGAAATGAAGCACAAGTCTTCACCACATAGCTACAAATTGATTAAATGACTTGTTATAAAATGGACACTATGAAGTGTGAAGGGGGGTGAGCAAAAAGCTCCTAACTAATAATGCTACAAATTATTGTACTAGATTAATTTCATTTTTCAGGGATGTGTATTTCCGCGTCACCACTTGAAATGCTTAAAGTGCAGGAATTAAAAATATATTGAAAAAAAAAAGGAGCAAAACAACCAGACAAAAACAGGGGCGACGCAATATATGCAAATGTGCGGGGACAAATATTAAACACTGCGTGCAACCATCTGCAAAAGAACAAACAACATAAACCAAAATTACAAACATTCACCAAAATTTGTGTAACATGTGGGTCACTAAAACACAGGGCAGATATGTTTTCATTTTTTTTTTTTTTTTTTTTTTTTTTTTCTATTTTTTAGTGTGAAACATATGTGAATATATGGCTTTAAAACATGTTCATGTACCTATGTACGCACATATATTTCTGAGTCTTCATGTCTTGGAGATGCATATTACACGAGTATGTGTATATACGCGTATACAAACATACACGTACAAAATATACACATATTTTGTGACAAAATTGTGCAACACAAACGCAAACAATATCATTACATACAATTTTGATCTGGTGTAATATACAACGTTCTGTCCATTCAGCATTTAGGAAACATATCATGCGTGTTAAAGAAATATTTGTACTCATCCATGATTTATGAAAAAGTTAAAATTTCTGTGTGAACAATTAACAATATCATGTGTGTGTATAAGTGTGCAACATGTTAATACAGTGCACCCATAAGAACAATAAATATTTATTAATCTATCATATACATACGTTTTTCGCGTAATTCTTGGAAAATATAAAAAAACCTGCAGGACAAAATTAAGGAAAATAAAAGCGAAACTGGGAACATGTCACAATGATATTATTTAAAAACACAATTCAAAAGTGGAAGGAACAATTTATATCCTATAAAATGCAGTTGTCAAACATGATGAACATATTTTTTTAGACATTTTCTGCGCAGCAAAATCTGGGGAAGACAAAAAAAAATAGAATTGAACTGAACTGCTTCTTTTTTTTTTTTTTTTTTTATTTCAAAAAAGTATGAACAGCTAATAATTGGCATATATTATTTTGGCTGTTCATAATTTTTTTGAGTGTCAATGTTGTGACAAATTCAAACTTTTAACGTTTAAAGGCAAAAATCAAAATGATGTACAAACGTCAAACAACCAATATATGCATTTAAAAAAAAAACATACACATGCATATAAAATTTATGTGATACAAATACGTTCATTGGTATGATGAAATTTGTAGAAATATTGTAAAATTTTTTAAAGTCAACATTTTGCTTATGTTATTTATGATAAATTGCGTCATTAAGATTTTTTTTTTTTTTTTGCACGAACCATTAATAATATTGCACATGACCAAGCAATTTTTTTTTTTTTTTTTTTTTTTTTAATGGACAATTTAAGCTGTATGTGATGAATGACCTCATGGAAAAAAGAAAAATACACATGGATATTTTTTCTTATGATTTGCCATGTTTGCCACATAAAAAGGGAATAACAATGAGGGGTGTTATGTATGTCTACTTTTCAAAAGAACGCATTTGTTGTTCTGTGCAGCATTTTTCTTGAGGTGTTGCAACAATGAATTTTGAATGCTTTGAAGTTGTGCACTTGTAGAACGTACAGGTTTTAATTTCTTTCTTTTCTTTTTTTTTTTAACGAGCTGCTAAGAGTGGAAAAAATAGCTGCACCAAATGGAGGGGAAATTATGTACGGCAAGCTGAAGTTCATTTTTTTTTTTTTTTTTTTATTTCCCATTTGAAAATTGATAATACGAATAAGGACAAACTGATAGGAAAAAAACAAGAACAAAAAAAAAAAAAAAAGAACCAAACAGGGTTGAAGCTTAAAAAAGGAGCTACAAAAATGAACATGATGGAAAAAAGGAAAAAAACGGAACATACCTATTTACATTCTTTATTGCGATGTATGCAAGTACTGCTATATATTAGGCCATTTCATCCTGGTTGTCCGATGAAATAATCGCATGCTAAAGGGCATTTCACTATGTACCTGATACCTACCTCGTTTAATGAAAAAATCTTGCTTCTTAAAATTACATACACATCTTCAACTGATTGCTGTTGCAATCATTATTAATTTTTAACGGAATGCCAATTTACCCACTGCTTGCAAAGCGCGTTGTGCAAAAAAGTGTAGACGTACGAAAAGTGAAAAAAAAAAAATGTAAATAAAACCAGTGCTGATATCTTCCCCAGGGGGTGCAGTACAATGCCCGGTTAATTTTTTAAGTTGTATACATATTCTTATTTTGTTTTTACACAACAATAAACTATATTTCCAAGCCCGCGCAAGATGTTGCGTGAGAAATTGTTATACATAACATTGTGGTGCGAGCCAATGGTACAGCGGACGCTCCGCAAAATTGCGTTCTGCATTAATCGCTTTGATTTTAAAAGGAATCATTTCCATCCAACCTGTGCTCATGTTGTGTTTACAACAAAGGTAAAAAATTTTAACATGCAACAAAATTATGGAACACCCATTTGTGCCTTTGTCATCGACGTAGTGTTAAAAAAAAGGATTATGCTACTTGGTGAGATGCAGCAAGTGGAATGTGCTGAAAAATGCGTGTGAATGGTTGCGCGTTATCCCAATAAGAAAATATTTTTTAAAAAAGCGGCCCCACAGTTCTCAGTTTAGTTCATATGCTACGACCTTCCTTACACATTTATAATTTTGTAGACCTTTCTTTTCGTATTCACATCCTGAAAAAAGGGTACCCTTATTTAGGTATTGTCCCATTTTCCATGTAAACAACTAAAAAATAGTGCAATGTGGCGCAAATGAAAGAGATGTAACACGTTTGTTATTTTTGCATAAGGTGCAAATAGCCCCTGCACAAATTAATCGATGAGTGGAACTTGTTTCAAAAAGAGGTATGCTAACAAAAAATGCGTCTCACTTTTACGTTTCACACAGTGTAATAGAAGAGCATATTTTAAGGTGTAAGCACATGGCACTTTGTAAAACTACAAAATTACGATGCCCTTGTTCTAAAAATGAATCTGCTTTGCGAGCTTAAAAGTGGCGCAGAAATGTCGGTGTAATGACGCTAATGAACAACTGCTTCGAGCGTACAGGGTTGCTCGCTTTCATAGATGGACACTGTCCTCGTTTATATGGATGTAAACAATGCGTACGAAATGTGGCACACGTGCACATATTATTGCACGTGTAAATAATCTATTATAACATCCGAACTGATATTTCACCTTGCTAGGTGTAGCAATATTTAAGTGTTTCCGTTGCATAAATGAAACATACAGATCGTTAATGATATAAGTAGTACAAAAAAAACGTGATCATTTCGAAATGGTCAAGTGTTATGTTATATGGTGATATATTGTCCAAACGCGCTTTTATGTTATTTTTTTTTTTATACTCAATTTTTCTTACATTTATTCGGCGAATAATTAGAACAAACTGCCACACATTTTGCTTAATTGCAGCTTTCGCGTTTTGAAAAATGCATTTCACCTTGCCCAAAGGACAAGCGAGTAATACCTTACAGACATATAAACAGTTCATTAAAGTGCTTGCGGCCAGGATTAAAATATTTGGGAAAAACTCGACATGTATGCTTCTTTATAAAAACTAAAAAAAAAAAAGTGTACATATGTGCCCTTTAAAGTAATTCATTTTAAAGTCGACAAATACATGGCAAAAAAAAAAAAAAAAAAAAAAAAAAAAACTTTATAGAAAATTTCAATTACGTCAGGTGGAAGCATATCTGTACCAACATGGCAGCAACGCGTTAATGCAAATTCCGAACGCCTTTGAAGGCGCAGCATAGTGTACTTGTAAACATTTCTTTATCTGCCCCTTTTGGTCGCTTTGATTTGTTGCTCGTACGCCGCCGTTTCTTGTTTCATGTGCCCTTAATCCATCAGAAAAACTGAAACACGTAAATTTTATGCATGTGCCAGTACATAAGCGTTGTAAAAGCAAAAAACTGTACTGTGTTTTCTTGTAAAGTGTGATGTTTTTTTGCATGGATATATATATATGGGCAAGGGATATATACATGTATTTTTTTTTTTTACTGCGTGATTTCACCATAGATCCGTTTAAAATTATTTTCGTTTTATGTTTCTTCCCATTTCATTTTTTTCTCATGTTAGGGCTTTATATTTTTACGCGCACGATTTTTGCTAGAAATGACCGAAAGTAACATGCCCACCTTGTGCTTATATATACGTTGTACGTGCTATATGTATTTATTATATATGCAGCATATTTGCATATATATGGAATCGTTTCCTTTTACTTTGCGACGCCTTTTTTGTCTCAGTAGTAGAAAGCATAGTGCACAAGAAGGGCATTTGACTAGAGCAATTGAATTTTGGTACAAATTTTTTTGCACGGATTGGAACAAATTCCGCAAGTGGCAGAAATTAATAGGTTATTGCACAGAACATAAAGAAAAAAAAATAAAGTTGGAAACAGCATGCGCCTATGAGTTTGCAGATTAAGTGATTGATTTGATTGTACAAAATTAAACGCAAGGGAACCAGAGGCGCAGGCGACATTAATTTTTTTTTGGCAATTATATTTTAAAATTTGATCATTTATTTATAACAGGATGAAACATTATTTTTTAATATTTTGCTCACATTTTGTAAATGTATATTAAACATAAAAAAAAAAACACATTCAACTTTTTGAGAAGCAGCCACTGGAGCAGTATTTTTTTTTTTTTTTTTT